TCTTCCCGCCCCGAGCCTCTTCGCAAACTCCGGGGTTTGGGAGCTGCGCCGGGAGCCAGGGCGCGCGAGGATGTCCCGGCCGCTGGGCTGCGAGCGCGAGGCCGAGCCTGCCAGCCAACTGCTCCCCAACTTACTTTGCTTCCCGGCTGTGCAGGTTCTTGGTGGAGGAAAGCAGGGAGGCCATCCACGGCACCCGCGCCGCGCCGAGGACGCCCGGGAGCCCGCCGACCCGGCCCCCGCGCGCCACGAACAGGTACCCGCGGCGCTGGGCGGCGGGAGGGAGGGGGCTCCGCGGCCGCGGCTCGGAGATGGGGCGCGGCTGCACCGCGGGGCTCGCTTCGAGTTGTCTGGTTGAGACCACACGATTGAGTGGATTTGAGAGAGAGAGAGGATGTGTGTGCCTACGCGCGCGTGTAACTCTCACACTCCCTCAACCTCCCCTGTAAAGCCTTCCCCTCGATGTGGATGTTCTTCGAACCAAGGGAGATACGAAAGCAGCTGCACTTTGAAAAAAATGGGTGCTGAGTTCCCCTTGCGATAATGGTGTGCTGAAAACCTCGAGAAGCAGCTCAGCCTGTCTCTCGAGAGGTTTGGTTGGTTTGCTTTGTGTCTTTATGCTTTAAAGTGCACCGGTGTAAGATTCACGTTTGGGAGCGTGGAATTCTGTGCTCAGTGTTGAGAATGTTTTTGTCCTTACTGAATGGAGACAGATTTTTTTCTTCGTCACTCCTAGGACTATTTATCCATGTGCAATAATTATTTGGGTTTTATCTTTTCTTTTTAACCTGTCGTAAAAGTAATCCATTCTTAGTGCAGAAAGTTAGATGATATGAGAAATGGATTTAAAAAGATTCACTCGGAGTCCCACCATCCAGAGATCATATTAAGCTTTTGGTTTATATTCTTCCAGGAGTTTTCCCCATGTACATGTATTTGTGAAATATACTTAAGATTGTACATTGTATTTTGTTCTGCCTTTTTTTCCCTAAAAAATCAGACATATATGTGTTATTACAGTGTTTTTTTTGCAAAACATTGCTTTTAACTGTTGCATAATTCATCGTATGAATGTGCCATAATCTATATAACTTTTTAGTTTTGGACACTTAGATTGTTTCCTGTTTTGTTTGCTGTTAATAATTCTATGAAGTGCCTCCTTGTATGTAAATCTTTATCTGCATTTTCAGTTCTCCGAGGCTGATTGATAGAAGTTGAATGATTAGATCAAAGAGTATGTACATTTTAGGTACTGAATACATTTGGCCGGTTGCTTCATGGATGGGTTGAATCAGTTTACATTTTCACCCGCAGGATCTACTACTTTGAGCCTCAGCCTTGCTACTATTTTTGCTTCTTTTAATAAATTTATTTATTTATTTTTCGCTGCATTGGGTCTTCGTTGCTGCCCGCGGGCTTTCTCTAGTTGCGGTGAGCGGGGGTTACTCTTCGTTGCAGTGCGCAGGCTTCTCATTGCGGTGGCTTCTCCCGTTGCAGAGCACGGGCTCTAGGTGCGCGGGCTTCAGTAGTTGTGGCTCACGGGCTCTAGAGCGCAGGCTCAGTAGTTGTGGCACACGGGCTTAGTTGCTCCACGGCATGTGGGATCTTCCCGGATCAGGGCTTGAACCTGTGTCCCCTGCATTGGCAGGCGGATTCTTAACCACTGCGCCACCAGGGAAGTCCCTGTTTTTCCCATTTTGTATACTGTCTCTTTTCCTCTATGTCTTGTGAATCCCTTTTCCCCTATGTATCTTTCTATGTATTCTTGGATCTTGGACCATCTTAATTTTCTGACTGCATGACTTAAGGCTCTGGTGTAGCTCCTGCATGACCATCAGAAGGGTTTTGGGGGTCCCAGAAGGAATCTTGAAGCGCAGCACGACATTGCCTTCTGCAGCCTCCTACTGGAATCTCACAGTGTATCAGGGGCACTGAGAGATCCTGGGGTAACAAAGCTTTAGAGAAAAATAGTAGCCTGTACTTTTACTTTATGCAGGGTTGTGTATTATAGGTAGTAGTTTTCCAGTGAATTGGGGAGCATTGCATCTTTTTCCAAGTCCTGGTACTGTTATATATTCTGGTGTCGTCCCTTGGGAAGACTTAGAAAGAATGTACTAATTAAATTATCTGGTCATAGGCCTTTTTGGAGGTAATTCTTGGATGAATTTTTCAGCTTCTTTTCGTGTACTTCTTTCACTTGGCATACTTCTTGAGCTAATACAGGTAATTCATATTTTTTTCGGAATGTGGTCCATTTTATTTAAGGTTTTAAATTTTGTACCATTCTGTTGGATTTTTCAAAACTTGTCTTTTGATCTACTTTATATCCCCTTTATCATTGGTTATTTATGTGGCAGGGGTACAAATTTTAATCCATACTACTCGGTTGTGTAGAGAAATTATAATTTTGATTTTTTTGTAGCTGATCTGATCTTCTTCCAAGAGCCCCAGCTGTAGGTAGAAGGTATAAGTAATAGTACAATAATAATACTAAAAGCAATAAGGATAGGCAGCATTTACTGAATGCTCATTGTGGACACATATCTAAGGCCTTTACATTTATTAGCTCGTCGCTTAATCTTCAGAAAATACTAAGAGAGGGCTTCCCTGGTGGCGCAGTGGTTGAGAGTCCACCTGCCGATGCTGGGGACGCGGGTTCGTGCCCCGATCCTGGAAGATCCCACATGCCGCGGAGCGGCTGGGCCCGTGAGCCATGGCCGCTGAGCCTGCGC